CCTCCCCGGGGGTCAGGCTGTTAGTTTACTGTAATACACGGAGAATGTATATAATAATTGCTATAATGGTTACCTTGTATTATTTTTGCTTTTTAATGCATACGTACCTATATGTATGTACATATATACACACACATATATACGTCCGTGCCAGAGCACCCCCGGGTGTCTGGGTATACCGCCGGGTGCGGGGGGAAGCGGCCCCGGGGCGCCCCACTCCTTTGTTACCCCGGGGCCCTGCGCCGGGCTCCGCGGTTGGGCGTCCTTCTTTCTGCTGCTGAAATCCCCCATCCCTTTGATTTCTGATCCTGACAGCATGACCTTACTCGTAAAACAGGGCCGGTGCTCAGAAATTTGTAAATGGTAACCAAAGGTTTTGGTGCTGGTTTTTGGTTTGTTGGTGGTTTTTTTAATTATTTTTATTTGTTTAAGAAAGATCTGCTGGAAAACGGTTTTTCTTCTCTCTGAATGCCTTCTGAAATGCTTTTTATTCTTGCATGGTTTGTAAACAAAGCTTTTCTCCCCCGAATCATGTCTTGCCCAATTGCCTGGTGCAAACTTCAGCCCACTGTGGCCCCTGAAATGAAAAGTATTTTTAGGTCCCTGCAGATTTATGGCTTTTGCTTCCAGGATTGCTGGGACCATTTGTCATGAGAATATAAGCTTGAGTGTACATTGCTGAGAGGATGGATTTTTGGCAATTTTTTCTCCATCGTGAGCATTTCTTTTCCGGGGCCAAGCAGAGCAATTGCAAAATTAACAGAACATGGTTACACAGAGAGAGGCCCTCAGCCAAAAGCTAGCCTGTTACTGCCCTGATTTTGAGAAGCTGAGCTCCAGTTAGTGCCTATTGATCTATTTTTGGCCTTAGGTTCTTCAGCTTGCAACATGTTTCCACGTACCTGATTTGCACATGGTTGGCAAAACAGTGTTTTTGTTCTCTCTGTGGTTGGGAAAACAGGTTGCTGTGTGTGCCTCCATGAGAGCTGTAATGTTACAGTAAAAGGAATTAGGTAATTTCTGTATGAGTGTCTGTTTCAGAGAACAAATGCAAATACATATCTTCCAAACCATAGGACCTGGAAGTGAAACCTGACCTGTGAGCATAAGAGTTAATTCCTATCTTACTGTAAGCAGTCATTCTTGTTCTCTAGCGTGAAATTGCTCGGGTGATTATCAATGTGCAGTGTTCGGGTTATACAGCTGAATGTTTCAAGGTGGATTCTGTCACACCAGTTGAAAATAAAATACTGTCTCAGAGAAGGCTCCTGTTGAAATTGTAGGATCTCTCATGGAGTAACATATTGCTCAAATAAAGAAGGCGATTGAAGTCTGCTCCTTAGGGTTGTTTTTTTATGGTGAGTCATTAAGAATGAGCTTTGTTTTTACAGTAACTTCATTCATGCCAACACCACCTCTAGTAAATATTTATTCAAAGGATTTAACACCTTTGGTTTTGCTGTTGAGAGAGCAAAATGTTGGCATGGAGGCAGACTTAGTAAATATAATCATATGTCCCATTGACTGGTTGTGTTATGAAATGGTTTGCTAAAATTCAAAGTAAAATGCCTCTTATGCTTCAAGACAGGTTTCTTATCAATACTGCGCTTTCGCTGTATGTCTTCTGTGATAGTAGTAACTTTATGCTAATCCTTTTGGTGGGGGGGTGTGTATCTCACTGGAAACTAGTAGATACTGACCATATTGATTAACAAGACAGAACTTACTGTACCTTTTGTTTGTTTTAAATAGCAAGGCATAAGCCAGAATAGGAAATGTACTGCCTTAAAATAAAAATACAGAGCTTCTCTGATTATTTTTGTTGGAAGTAGCAAAACCAGTGGCAAGTGCTAAGTAGAAGAGCAGTGGCAAAGTTATTCTAAATGCAAGGTTTCCTGATTCAATGAATTTGTAAGCCGCAGTCCTTGTGAGTTTTCAGTGGGAATACTGAATGAGCCTTCTCAGACACTTTCCCCCCTCTGATTTCTTCATACGTGTTTGACTTTTCATTCTTTCTTTCTAGGGAGAGCTGGAAAAGCTGAATCAATCTACAGATGACATCAATCGCAGAGAGACAGAGCTAGAGGTACAGAATTTAACCTTGCATTTTTCTTTGTGCGTGTTGGATTTTGTGAGCAAGAGAACAGTATTTCTGAGTAGGTTCCTTCGTGAATTGTGCCATCCTGAATGGTAATTTGGCAGCAAGAGTCTAGTGATGATTTTTCTAAAGGTGTGACTTGAGCTAACAGCTGGAACAGAAAGGGAAGAAGTCAATGTGGAGAACACACCCCCCACCCACTGCCAAACCCTATTTTTAGGTTTTGAAACTAAACTTGGATAAGTTCTGTTTATACTAGTCACTGGTTTGAGTTTGTGTTCTTGTGATTACAGACAGTGGAAATTTATTTGGTGAAGAGGTCTGTGCCATACAATCACCTGCTAGGATCTCCTCCTTGGCGGCTTTTTTTTCATCTTGTTAGTTTTTCCTTTTCTGTCATTACTTTCTAAGTAAGGAAAGTAATGAAGGGAAGTTGAAGAAAAATACTTCATAGTTGGAAAAAGAGGTTTTCTTGGACACTTAAAAATCTAATAGAAAGTTCTGAAGAAAGTGTTTCTAAAGCCCCAAATTTGAGCTTCAGCTACTTGGTAGTTATTCTGGAAGGCTCAGCATCACTGATCTAATAATGAATCGAAACAAACTGTCCTACTTGTATGTCTAAATTTTCTTTCATTATCTACAAAAAAAACCCCAAAAAACCAGGAGAAGTATAAGATGAATATGCTGCTAAGAGAAAACTGGTATAAAATGCTACTTTACATCCTAAATAATTTTGATAATATTACACTATTTTGGAATACTACATCAAAACAGGCTGAGATTGCAGTGATGAACATACTCTAAAACTACATCTCTAGATTTCTGTCTGCATCTTCAAAATGTCAGTTTCTGTTGATTTTTTTTTTATTATTTTTTTTTACCTCCTTGTATGTGTGTTTTCATGAGATGGAAACCTGGAGCCTGGGATAGTTCCTGGTAGTGTTACAAGATACTGGAGTGTCCATCGTGAGCATCAAACAATATAGGATTATGAACTCTTTTGGAAACAAAGTGGCCTTGTCATGTGGCTGGTTTCTTTTCCCTACTTCTTAGCATTTTCTGTGCTTTGTGGCATGTAGATCATGAATTGATTGTCAAATAAACTTTGTGGAATGCAGGACTATTTGTTACGCAAAATCATACTGTATTTCAACTGTGATAACTGTTCAGTGTCACCAGCTTGATTTAAATTTTATGAGTGAACTTTAGAAATCAGTGTGCTAGTCTGCAACAGTACCAATTAAAGGGACTTCAGGACTTTTTATATACATATATTGGAAAAAATTATGTATATCTTTTCAGCCTCCTTTTTTCATGCTGAGGTACTGAAATTGAAGGAGGGTGTTATGGATAGTTGCCTGGATTTCATTAATCTTGTCATAACCTTGCAGTGAGGACAGATGTATTGTGAAGCAGATAGAATAGTAGTAATAATAATGCAAATGTGTACTCATGAAATAAGTCCCAGTTATGGGACTTAAGATGGGATTTTACTGCTTGATTAAAATTATTCATGTGTTCAAGTGTTTGTAGAACCTGGAGATTTGCAGCTACTGCATGTGTGACACATGCTGAGCTTTAAAGGCCAAAAGGCTCCTGGATATATCACTGAATGAAAGAGCAGTGTTTCCACATTGGATTGATCTTACATCATTTCTTACTTAGTCTAAGAAATAATAGGTGTCAGATAGTGCGGAATGATTATATGATGCTTTCTACCTCTGTGTCATTAAATGTTTACAGCAGATCTGTCTGTAGTACTTATTGTAAACAGTCTTTGATGGAGTTAGGTTGAAATATCATAGACAGTATTCTTTCATGAAAGTTTCTTCTTTGCTTTTCATCTGAAAATCTTACTGGATTGAAGCCAGTTTGAGGTATCACGCAACTGCGTAATTTTTAATCCAGAAAGATTTTCATTGCTTTTGATCTGCTTAAATTCTGAGGACAAATGCAGTTGGCTGATGTAAGCAAGGCTTAATTTATCCACATGTTGATAAATGCATTTTAAATGGACTTACGACCTTACTAGAGAAACGATACTTAAAAAACCCAAAGCAACACAACACTTGTGGTTAGAAGATACTCCCTGCATTCTTACTCTGGACAAGGGAAGAAATCTTTGCCCAGCAGCCTTTTCGAATAAATCCAGAGTTCGCAAGGGGGAGTTTAGAAGTGGAATCATTCTGCTTCAAAGTCTTCCAAAATCCTTGAATGCTGTTGAAAATGTGGGCTTCTGGGAGAGCCATGCTGAGTTTGCCTTTGAAGATTTGCTATTTTGGCTGTTACTAGCTGCTTTGGGTCCCTTTTGCTACCCGTTTCCAGTTTATGATGGTGCTGCTATTGTAAGATATTTCATTAGAAGAAAAACGTGTTGGTTGGTTTTGGGTTGATGGAGGGGTTTTTTTAGTGTTTTTTTGGGGGGGTTTGTTTTTGTTTTTTTTTTTAATCAGACAATGGAGTTCTATTTTTCCTATTCTTCTATTATGACTTCATCTTTTCAATACCTGATCATAGTTGCTTTTAATGGGAATAGACAGTATCATTAGACTATTTACAGCGCAAGATGCTGATTGCCAGCTTCCTGTAGCATTACTATGTAGTCCGCACATTCCCACTGTTGATTTCCACCCCCACCCCTACCCCCCCAGAATAATCTGGAAAAGCAATGGGAGCATTTGAGTAGAACGTATATTCTTTTGAAGGAAGTTCAGAAAAAGACACCCATGTTCTTGTGACTCTGATAAGCAGAAAGAGTAACCTTGTAGCACCTAAATACAGCGAGTCTGTTTTGGACTTCTGTAGCTTTGCACAAGTCGCTCTAACTGGGACTGCTGACTGTCTCCAGTTTGTATTAACTGGAAGAAAAGGCTGTAAGTGTTAAATGCTTTTAGCCTCCTGCTTTTGTTCTCACTGTGCCTCAGGTCTACATCTGCAAAATTGAAGTAAAAATCCTGCTTTACCCGATGGAAATGTTATGGGGCTAACATCGCTAAAAGCTCCTCAGATTTTGAGATTACCCTCTCTTGGTGAAGCCACAGACACGTCTGTGTTTGATCAATGCAGAATGTATTGGCATTTGCTGCTCACAGAGGTGCTAAAATAGGGAATTCTGTTTTAAACTGATCAGCCACCCATTCTTTATCTTTGAAAGTAAGTTCTGCACCCAAACCACATATGAGAGGAGTGGATTTACATGCATGGCATGACTTGAAGATGTATGTTGAAGTTAGTTAGGTACATCTATTCTTTTACTTGATATAATTACTCATTTTTTGTTCTTTTGACCTATACTGTTAAACCCTGGAGAATACCCTGACCTTCTGATGCTCACAGCCTGTTCAGGAGTTGTGGAGCTGCTAAAGGGCACTGGGTGGCTGATAGTTACACGTTGCACTAATGTATTGCCTTGTTAATGAATCTTTGATTAGACTTGATTTAAAATCCATAATGCTGCTCATACTGATTGCAACACTGAGCATTACTGACACAGCAAAAGGGTCATAAGGGTCCTCTGAGGGATTTAACACTTGGCTTTGCTAATGTCCCTGTTTATGTTTGAAGTGTCTGTGAGAAGGTGGGGGAAACATCTTGCAGTGGAAATACAAGCATGGTTTGGCCACATGCAAGTTAGAGTGGTGCTTTGCTATTTGAGCTTTTTTCCTGTTTATTGGAAATGCATCTCCATCTGAGCTCGCATCAGGAGTTGCAAATGTATTTAACAAACGTGCATGACTTGCCTGTCCAGCTAACTCATACATGTCTTTGGCTCCTGAAAGTACAATTCAGATGTAACGGATTCACTCAGGGACTCTCTGGCAGCATTTCAGGGAGGGCAAATACAGCACATACCATTAAAATTACTGCTGGAATCCCAGCTATCCAAATGTGGTTTTTGTTAAGAGACAGTTGTGTTGCTGGAGCTGCAAGCGTGCCAGTATCAAAGGGAGATGACTGCACATGAAAACCAGAGCTGAACAGTGCTGCTTTCAGCCATGCTTATTAGCATGCATGTTAGGCTAGAATCTTTCTTATATGCTTGTCTAGATCCTCTAGTCCTGATCTGCAGGACGTTGTGTTACTTTTAGTCCTGGATTTATCTTAAAGGTCACCCTGGGTTGGTGTTGGATAGAATCAAAGGAAAGGGGTGTATCAACTGTGGTGCTTTTCCACTTGTGAGGCTTATCAGCATTTAAACCCCGCTCAGAAGGGGAGGTCTATTCTGTTTAGAGTTGCTCTTCTCTTGGTTTTGGGATAAAGATCAAGCTTTTGACCCTGTCACACACAAGAATTTAAAGTAGACTTTTTTTTTTTTTACAAATTCCTTACTCTTTCAAGTTTTAGAAAAATGGCCTGTTAGTGGCAGAAATCTCATCCTGATCGTGCCTGCTTGGCCTGTGGAAACATCTTTCTGTAGAAACATCTGCCTCATCAGTAACCCTGTGCAGCATTTTCCAGTGTCCGTAAAAGAGTACACAGATAAGGGAGAAGCAGCTTGCTGGCTGGTATTTCTGCTGGGTTTTGGAGTGCAATACACATGCATGATGGATTTGTCCCGCACTAGAAGGACAATTCTTTCCGTGTCTTTTTATAATCTACTTGTTTCCATAGGAAATGCCTCCTGCATGTGGTTTGCTTGTTGTTTGGCCTTCTGCTTCATGCATGGATGAGTGAGGCAAGGCTGCTTCCTCTGCTATGGCGCTGGAAAGATTTTGTCGCCCAAGTGAGTCAAAGGGCTTTACTTGATTCATATTCCTGAACTAGAAATATGTATCTAGCCTAAGAGAGGGAGGAAGGGTGAGGCAGAGAAATCCTGTTTTGGAAGAAGCACCCGGTGCTTTCCCCTGCCTGCTTTCCTCCCCTTTCTTATAAAAGGACTAAAAGTAACAGTGTATTGGTAGTCTCAATCTGTAACTGTCTGCAAGGAGGTTAGAGCATCTTCTAAATACCAGCTGTGTGGAAAAAAAGATTTTTCTCCATGCTCAAAAATTGAGATATTACTTAACCTATTCCTTGCACTTTGTTTTTAAGGTTTGGTAGTCTGTCTGGTTTACTTGAACTGCTCAGGTACTGAATAGATGTTAAAGATGTCATTAACCTGTTTGATGCTCTGAGGTAGAATTCCATGTGCATATGATGTGTATGTAACTGGGAAGCCTACCTGCTTTCACACTTGGATGTTGTTGATATTGACGCTGTTAAAGCTTGGAAAATGAGCTTTTGCAGTTGGTAGGTCTCTGTAGCAGAGGAAGGCAGGTACAGATACTGCCTGCCTCTTGGAAATAGATGGAGCCTGTCCCTCAGTCAGCAATTTCATTTCCCATGCGCCTTCCAGGCTGGTTTAATGGGTTGTCGAAGGTTCTGCACACCCAACTGTAAGAAAGAGCATAGGACAGCCTTTGTAAATGAAATTTAAATGTCTTTGGTACTAAGATGTTTCATTCCCAGTCGATGTGTTAAGTTCATTTTTAAAAGTAAATTGTTTGAAAATATAAGCTTCACTTGATGGGCAGAAATAGTTATTTGCCTGTCATCTGGCAACTAGCACCACCTCATCCCTGTCACTCATGAGAAAGGAAAACAAACATGCTTTATTCTCCAGTGCAGTGTAAGTGTAAAGTTGTATTTTAGATTCTCCTCACATTTGAGGGTGGATCTCCAAAATGCTGTAGTGCGGATGGCCTATTATTAAGCGTTGTCCCTCTTTTGGTGCAGTTGCAGGTCACTGCCCAATAGCAAGTTACTAGAAACAAAGTCTGTTTTTAATGATGGACTATTGCAGCAAAAGCATACATGGGGTAGAAGCCTGGCATGCTCCCTAAGACTCTGCCTGTGAAATCAATCATTTGGGAGGAAAGTGGTAAGGATTTCCAGGAAGAAAGTTGATGAGAGTGGAGCTCTTGCTTTGTGTGGTGGTCTTCCCAAAACAGATGTTAAGGCTTTCCCCCCTGATGGGGACTGTGGATGAACTGCACTATTGTGATCTTCCTGAACCTCTAAGTTTTTGACGTGAGTGTTCTTACAGAAAACACCATTAAGAGGATTTATAGTTTTGAACCGCTTCACATGTGGGTCGAAGTGTCTCACTGACAATAAAACAGGAAGCTGGACATAGAGCGGAGAATTGATTCCCAAGTTACTGCTTTGACCACAGGATTGTCCTTCGCATTAAACACAGATGAGCATTTCGTGTCACGTAAGCAGCAAGTACACCAAACCTGGTGCAATTACCTTGGTGCTTCTGACCACCCCATTTTCACATGAAGAGTAAAAATAGCTGCTACATCAGTATTTCTCATTTAAACTTCCCTAGGGGCACCTGCCAGGGGAAGTTTGCACTGTCCCAAGGGTGATGACTTATACAGATGCTTTGTCAGCACCTGGTAGGGCTGGCACTGAGCCAGCACACGGAGTGTGGCTGCATGTTTGCAGGAGGGAGCTGTGCGCCAGCTCATGGGAGATCATGCCATAGCTCCTGGATAGGAGCTGTGTCACTGAGACCATGAGAGCTGAATCAGTTTGGGTTGAAGAGTCTGAGTAGCGTGAATGCACTGGGTTGCTGCAGGATATGCACATTGTAGATATACAGCGTGGGATTGTTTGCTTTTGTAGTGTAGTTGGGGCTAGTGGAGAGTAAAAGTGATGCATGCAGCGCAGGAGAGGGCATGGGTTTGACATTTTGCCTTCTCAAGAGACCCCAGCATCTTACTGCTGTGTCCAAAGGGGATGGCTGGAAACCCCTGCAAGGGAGACTGTTCACAACAGAGTACAAGCGTATGCTTATTCTCTCATGCAGAAGGTGGCAGAGCCTGTAGGCTTGTGTTCCTAACAGTCAGGAACCTGAGGATGAATGTCATTTAAAGTAAGTCATGTGAAAGATGACATAGTTAAAAAGTTCTGGGGGTTTCAGTTTTCGTTACTGTACTTCACTGGTAAAAGAGAAGATGATCAGACCCAAATAAAGCCTCAAAACAGGAAGTGGGCCTCTTGTGGGGTAAATGATGAACTGGAAGTTCACACCAGCATATTCTTCAGCTGAAGCTCCCTATTCTGTTTAACTACCTCCTGCTGTGGCTGTGCTCATGGACAAATGTCTGCTTAACCATTTGAAAGACCTGTGTCTTAGGTGCCAGGTACAGGGTTACTGACATTTAGTAATTTGTATGTCCTTCCTCTGATTTGGTGGGAAATGAATAAGTACAGAACTCGCTATTAGTTTCACAGGTCTGTCCTTGGTTTTTGGTTTGTTTTTTTCTATTTTATTTTATTTTTTTAAATTCAGGTGGAGACCAGACCCTTTTATCCTAGTAGATAAGAGTGCACGTAATTATTACATGAGTGAGTTTGGGGTAGGTCTCTAAGCACAATTTGGTAGTGACAGTTTCTTTGTTCCAGGTGCTTATCTAAACATGTGAACTAATTTGTTTGATGAATCACTGCATAGGGGTTTTTTTACTTAATGTGTATACATTTTTAGTTTTCTTTAACTATTTGCTTTCCATAATTAGTATCCTAATATGCATCTTTCACAAAGAAAGTGAAAACCAAACCTTCAGGCTCACTTGTTTAGAAATAAGTTTTTAATTTTGTTCCTGTACTTGTAGGAAAAATTATTTTGTTGAATATGCTTCAGTACTTAACGCTTTTCTTGCAATATAGTCATCATGTTTGCAGTCCTACTTCAGTTGCTTGTGAAACTCATTTTGAACAGCAAACCATGTATCATCCAGTACTTTAATTGGAAATATTAAAATTCTTCTCACTGAAGAAATCGAGTCAATACACATTCTTTTAATGATACGTTTCAGACTTTCACAAAGAAATGAGATTATTGACTGGATTGGAGTCAATAAAATAATAAACTAATGGGTGTTTCATTCTCCATTTTTGACCTTGTTGCCCACTTGAATACTTCCTTAGAACCAAGTGGAGTGCCTTGAGAATCTAAACTATTTGCATTGGACTAAGATGTTATCAATGCTGGCTGAGGTTTTAGATAACACTAAGCTGTGTGGTTCAGTTGATACACTGGAGGGAAGGGATGGGATCCAGAGGGACCTTCAAACACTTGAGAAGTGGCCAGTGCCAACCTCATGAAATTCAACCGAGCCAAGTGCAAGGTCCTACACCTGTGTTGGGCCAATCCCAGGTACAGGTTGGGCAGAGAAGTGATTCAGAGCAGCCTAAGGAGAAGGACTTGGGGGTGTTGGTGAGTGAGAATCTGAACATGAGCCACTTCAGTGTGTGCTTGAGCCCAGAAACCCCCCATGTGCTGAGCTGCATCAAAAGCAGCGTGAGCAGCAGGTCAAAGGAGGTGATCCTGCCCCTCTACTCTGTTCTCGTGAGACCCCATTTGGAGCAGTGTGTGCAGCTCTGATGTCCTCAGCATAAGAAGGACATGGAGTTGTTGGAGCAAGTCCAGAGGAGGCCACGAGGATGATCAGGGGCTGGAGCACCTCCCATATGAGGACAGGCTGAGGATGTTGGGTCTGTTCAGCCTGGAGAAGAGAAGCTGTGTGGAGACCTCAGAGCAGCTTCCGGCAGAGCAGCTACCATTCCGTGATAAAGGAAGCAGAGAAGCTGTTGCTGGAGTATGTTGCTTTTTCTGTAAAAACGAATGCAATATTGCAGGGTTTTTCCACTTCTGAATACATAGTGGTAGGTTCCAAGGTATTTTAATTCTTCTAGCAAATAAAGAGTTGTGCATTCTAGAAATCCTCAACAATAATGACAAAACCCTCCTGAATTAGAGCACTTCTTCAAGCCAGCTGCTTCCTGATAATCACCATGTCACTCCGGCTGTCTGCATAAATGCTGCTCTCTAATTAGAATTGAAAGGTTTGTCAAGAGCTCGCTTGGCCCTTCCTCTTCATCTTCTTAAATCCTGGGCCAGGTCCCAGCTTGAATTTGCATCTGTCTGCAATAATTCCATTGATTTAGAGTCTGTTTTGGATGCTGAGATCGAAATCAGAATCCCTCTGCTTAAAAATATGGAAATTCCAGTGGAGCACAGAAAGTATATTAATTGCTTCAGCTAATCATGTGAAGAGGTCAATTTGTCCAGTTTGGAAGTAGCTGGAATTTACTTTTTTAAATGTAGTAAATAATAAACAAATGGAAAATAGGTGTCCTTACCCATTCATACAAACTATAGCTGAAAATATGGGCTTTTATAGCAAGAAGTCATGCCACAAGGACCTGGAAGCTTTTTGCTGCTATCAAAGTAAGTAGGGTGTGTTTATAAAAGGAAGGAGGAGCTGACTTGAAAATACACCGTGTAGGAAGTCTCCATTTCTTCCTGCAGAAAGCATATCCTGTCCATCCTTGTTCACATTGTGAAATAATGTCTCTGGGGGAACAATATTAGGGGTGTCACATGCTAAGGTTTAGAAGATGCTAATTCCCGCTGAGTTGCCAGCCTGCTGTGGGTATTTGGCCTGTCTGCTAGCCACATTGTAGTGTTGTCTAGATGTCTTTGTCATTGAACTCCTTACTGGAACTTGTTACACTGCTGTTTGCTTCCTCACTGAGTAATCTACAAGCTGTCCCTCTCTGTAAAACCTTGCCAGAGGTGACATCTAGCACAGGCTATTGCAGGCTTTGTATGAAAGCTGCTGTCCAGAATGCTAGCTTTCAGATATGGCTCTGGGTTCTTGTTCTAACCTCTGCAGAAGAATTCTGGCTTAGTCCAAATGCCAGTAAGTGCTTTGAATGTGTCACCTGATGTGTGAATCTAAATGAGCAACCTGAAGGTGGGAACAAACAGGTAGAAATAATATTTAAAGCTCTAATTAGTCTGTGTTCTTTCTTTCCCTTCTGCAACATTTTGAAGGATGCCCGCCAGAAGTTCCGCTCCGTGCTGGTCGAAGCAACAGTAAAACTGGATGAACTGGTAAAGAAGATTGGAAAAGCTGTAGAAGACTCTAAACCTTACTGGGAAGCTCGGAGGGTGGCCAGGCAGGTGAGAACTTTCTGTTACTAGCTTGTGCTGGTAATTGGAGAGCACATGCTGACTGCGTTGCTTTCCTGCTATTATTAACATCTTAAGCATATGCACTTGGCTGACACTGGTTCATGTCTTGAGTTGCATGTCAGTGGTGAGAATTGATGGGAAAAATGTTTCCTCACTGCCACAGCTCCACATGTTCTTCAGTCCAGGAACAGCTATAGCAGACATAAATGATCAATAGCAAAAGATTAGCTCTGTTCTTGTCTCATTATCAATGGCCTTTCAGAGTCCTGCTCTTTCCTGTCAGTACTTGTAATTATTTGAAAACACAATGTAGACTTTGTGTCTCTGCTTTTTATTCTTAAAACGTTCAGGAAGCTGCTGGGAAAGAGGCAGGAGTCAGGCAGACTTGGGGAAACATGCAGGGGTTTGTGCTGATTAGGTTGTGCTAAATGGGGCTCTACAGTGTGTTGGTTTGGGCAGAAACTGACCTCTGCTTTCTGTACTGTCATCAGAACCTTAACTCCTTTCTCTCTAGTACTTGATTATTGATAGCCCTGTGTGGCTGAGGCAGGGAAGAATGAGGTGTGGAAATAAGGGTCTGATCTCCTCCAGGAAAAGCTGCAGGGAAAGCAAAGAGAGCTTGTGAGATGTCAGGCAGCTGCTCACTTTAGGGAAAAAGTAGCTGAGATGTGAGTGTGTGGTGGTTTAGGCATTGCCTGTAATGGAGTTTGCTGGTGTCTGAGGCTTTTTGGCAAGGGGGAGGCTGTTCCTGGGTACTATTACTTTCTCGAAAGGCAGAAATAGCAGAAGAGTTGCCCTACAGCTGCTGCTCCTGTGCTCAGCTGGAAAGATGTGGAGGGGTGGCATCTGTGGCTGGATAGCCAGGATACAATTGTGTTCAAGGGGAGAGTGAGAGATGGGGGAGCATGTGTGAAACATGTGAAAAGTGCAGAAGGATTTGTCTAGAAGAGTACGTAGGGATGAGGTTGAGGGATTAGAAAAGTAGTGTAGGTGTATGCCAGAAGGCACAAAGTAAACTTGCAGCATAAGAGAAGAGAAGGCATCCTCAGAACAAGGCACGGGAAAGGGAGGCATGAATGCAAGCTTTATCACTTTGAAAGCTGATGAAGCAGGAATTGGGTTGGTGGGATGTGGCATGCAAGGTAATATGTGATCATGTCAATCACTTAAATTGCATGACATTGTTTTGGAGCCATTGTCTCAGGCACTGGGGATGATGTGTAGGGGTTATTTAGGCTTAATCCTTCATCCTAAAAAGAGCGTGGCAAACAGGTAAGCTCTGCTTCAAAGCCCAGAAAGCACAGTATCTGCTACTCATCCGTAGCTGTTCTGAAAGCAATCCCTGCTCTTGGGGCCTATGGTACGTGCTAGAGATAAACCAGTAGTAAGCTAGAGAAAAAGAGGAAGTTAGTAATAAAGTAAGATCAAGGAATTGTTTCTGTTGTGTTAATTAGTAAGTGCAATTAAAAAAAATCCCCAGAACTCTGCCTTAAGTATGATGTTATACTTCTTTTACTATAAATACCTATATAATGAACAGTATGCATAGGCCTTCTATCAGTGACTTTTCCAGGTATAACTTTTGAAATGCATACTCTGTGGTACAAAAAAAAATCAGATGACTTCGAGGCTTGTAACAGCAAGCATCAAGAGCAGTGAGCTTTGCCCTCTGTCTGCAAGTTGGCAGCAGATTGTGCCCTGAAAGTGGAATTTTTTATTGCTGTGTCTTTGCTATCTCTGAAATCCATTCAGTCACGCTGGTTCAAAAGTGTTTTGCAAGTACACTAAGAAACCCAAACCTCTGAAGATCTGTGGATTGGATTTGTAGAATCACTACTCTGCTGTTTGGCTTGTTAGAGGGTACTGTTTTTCTCCCAGTCTGTTCTGTCATTAGCTAGGCTTAGATGCTTTTTATACCAGATCTGCTAATTTGCTACACACTCAATTTTCTGTTAATTCCTTAATAACATTTTATATTTTTCAAAGCCAGGATTCCCCTTCTGTTTCACTTTTTTCCATTTTGTGCTATGGAGACAGTCATGGAACGGAGCTGCTTCTTTGTGTCTGCTCAGGAGACAGAGCTGGAAGATTGTCTCTGCTTTCGCTTTGGCTCTTTGTCTAATAAAATCTTGAAATAGAAAATATGAGGGCCAAGAGGAATATTACCCTTGAAGGACAGTGAATCTATGGGGAAACCAGGAAATTGGAAAGATTGGTACCAATCATCAGTAAAGCATCAGCCTAAAGAGTGTTTCTAGTCTTAGCCTAGAGAAGTTCTGTTTAACTGAAAGTGAGGAGAAGGTGTGTGTGGGTAGGGAAACATGAAACTGGAGGAATGTACCAGAACATTAATATGTTTAGGTGTCAGTCCACATCTTTCTTTTTACTTTGATTTGTAAAATTGTAGAGAAATATGGGACCAGCTTGATATTTTTTCCATTCAAATTTATAATAACATCTAGCCTATGAAGACTGACTTCCTCCTTCTGTCTTTACACTTATTTTAGAACCATTAGGTTGCCTCTGAGAACAGAGGCACAAGGTTCTTGTGCACTTGTAAGAGAAAGGGAAGTGTAAATTCTTCAGGTTTGTTCTCAGTGAAGGGAAGTAAAATTATGACCCGTAAGTTAAGTCTTCTGGGAATAAAGAACTACGTAATTAATGACATCTAGTTTGGCAGAAATGCAGGAGTTCTCCAGTTATTTGTGTTTAAGATGTCAGTTGTAGGGGTTAGTTGCCTGATGCAAGCTGTATTTAGTCATATCGAGGAGCCTGCTTTCACTTGGCACCAGCAGGATTACCTTTTGGAAATACTTGTTTCATCTGCTGAGGTAAAGCCCATTAAAAAGGCATGAGGGCACGGATGTGGGGTCAGCAGAAAAACAGGTACCCAACTCAAGTAGTTCCCTGGAGAAGCTTTAGGACCTTGAGCCCTTTTGTCTACTCACCCACATCCCCATCTTATGCAATCCTGTGTTGGCAAAAGATGGTGAATTCAAAACAAATTAATTCTCCCATGTGTAAGTCCTGTGGCATCTTGTTTGTTTAACATATGCTAACAGAGCTTCAGCTTGGCCTTTCTCAAGGTGCAACTTTGCTTTGGCAGAACAATTGACCCTTAGGGTTAGGATTTGAGTGCTTTGCCCTCTGAAGTGGTGACATGGGGAATGAGGATGCTGTCTGTTGGTACCAAAGCAGTAGCATTTGGCTTTTGCTGAGACTGAAATGGCTGATATTCTTGCCTCTGTAGATTTCATGCAAATTGTGCCAAGACAACTTGGTTGAGTCCTCATTTGGTATACCAGTGGGCCTTGTGCTGCACACCTTGCCGTTTTGGAGCTTTTGAATCCATGTAGTGGTTTAAGCCCAGCCGGCAACTTGGAACCACGCAGCTGCTCGCTCACTCTCCCCCTTTTCCTGCCCCCCCCCCCTCCCGGAGGGATGGGGAGGAGAATCGGAGGAATGTAACTCCCACGGGTTGAGATAAGAGCACTCCAGTAACTAAGGTATAATACAAACCACTACTGATACCAATAATAAGAGGAATAACAAGGGGAGAGGACACAAACCGCTCACCACCTGCCGACCGATACCCAGCCCGACCCGAGCAGCGATCTGGGCCTTCCGGGTAACTCCCCTCAGTATCTGTCCTGGGCATGACGTGCTGTGGTATGGAATACCCCTTTGGCCAGTTTGGGTCAGGTGTCCTGTCTCTGCTTCCTCCTGGCTTCCCCTCCTCTCTGGCAGAGCATGAGACTGAGAAAGTCCGTGGTCAGAGTAAACATTACTGAGCAACAACTAAAAACATCGGTGTTATCAGCGTTGTTCCCAGACTGAAAGTCAAAAACACAGCACTGCCCCAGCTACTAAGAAGGAGAAAAAATGACTGCTATAGCTGAACCCAGGACAATCCAAAATTGTTGTTTAATCAAATTTGAATGTATTTCTGCTGCAAGAACTTTTTTGTATTTGGCATACTGTCTTTTCATGTTGTTCTTTAACTTATGCCATAATGTGCATGGTCAATGGAAGAACCTTGGCATACAGCAGAGTATTGTTTACGTACACAACTAATGACTATGTTGCAACAGTATGAAATGCCTATAATCCAGAAGATGGTCCAGGTGTTTACAAGTGTTGGGAAGATCAATTGTCCCATGTCGTTTTGGTTGGTGTTTTCTTTTTTTACTATTGTTACTTTTTTTATTTGTTATTGTAGTGGGGAGGAGTTTTGGGGGGTGTTGGAGGGGTGGTTTTGGGGGATTATTTGCTACTAATCTGCTTTCCTGTATGCTTACTTGAAGAACTAGACTTTTCTTACCCCAAGGTAATAGGAAAGAAGGGTAAAGCTACCAGGAAGCATTAATAATGTAAACGACAGTGTAGATCTTGAGCCTCTGAGTTAAGGAGTGTCTTAAAGCCACTGTTGACTTTTTCAGGGCTGGGGCGGAAAGTGCCTGTGTAATAGTGTCTGAGCAGGTGATAGTTTGTAGGAGCTGATTTTGTGCTGCTGCATGGCATAGATAAATTACTTTGTCTCTCAGTTCCCATTTAAAATGGGGCTGTCAGGGTGCTGTGAAGCCAAGTTCATTGAGGGAAGTAAAAGCACTTCAGGGTCATTGGGTGAGAGGTGCCATTAACACATTGTTATGTGTATGTTATTGCTTATGAACCCAGGGACAAACTAAGCAGGAGGACTTGCCTTTCTGCTTTGCTTCTGTTGGAAAAAAATAAAATCTGATAAAAATGTGTTCCCACCCATCCCTACAAGTAAAACAATCCAGACATTAGTAGTGAGCCTCACCTGTGGTGGGAGTGTTGGTTTTAATTAAGCTTTAGCTCCTCTTAATAAGCAGGTTTTTTAGAGGGTGAGGAGTTACGCTTCAATCCCCAGTACTGGCTCAGACTGGGAGTAGCTGCAGGTGCTTTCCTCAGCTTTAGCACTGAGCTTAGTTGGGAGGACATGGTTTGCTGTGTCATATTCCCCT